AGGTAAATTCCTGGTGGTCAGCAGGGTCACCGGAGCTAGTGCTAGCTAGCAATGGGTCACCCATTGAAAAATTTCCCAATTATTCCCGTTCTGATGACAACCCAAAATTAGACCTTTTCACTTTCAGTGATAAAATGGTCACCAGGTTAAATAGAGAGATTGAATCTCCCCAACGGGAAAAGAGACTGCAATAAAAACCTGATCTAATCCCTCTTTTGACTCCAGTTGCACTTTAAAGTGTCTTTCCACTTTTGCAGTCAAATTGGGATAACACCTATGTTATATTTGCTAATTGTTTCTCATTGTCATGGCATAACTTAACACATAACATTTGACATTGCTGCTTGCACAATGCATGATCTATTTTAAAAAGAAAATGTGTTCTCTTTACAACAGTATGTTTTGCTCTGGAATGCAAAGGGCAGTGGGCAGGTTAAATGTTAACATAATTAACCCTGTCTGTACTGTGCTGACAGATCTCATTATCAATTGTAAACACTGTCTGTCCTAAAGTTGGCCATACACCTATAGATTATCTGCAGATGTTCTCTGGTCAGACGGGAAAAGTGCAACAGATTCCTCCATCTACGCTAAACTGTGTGGCTGGAGGAATCTCCCGCTGGGCCAAGCTTCAGTATCATGCTAGTCGGCCCCGCTGGCTCTCAAAATACCGGAATAATGCCTGCATCCAATCAGATTGTTCAGGTATTTTGAGAGCCAGCGGGGCCGACTAGCAAGATACTGGAGCTTGGCCCAGTGGAAGATTCCTCCATCCACACCGTTCAGCGTAGATGGAGGAATCTGTAGCACGTTTTCCATCTGACCATAGAAAATCTATAGGTGTATGGCCAGCTTAACAAAGATCCAAAGAAGAGAGTCGAGGGCTGAAACGCGTCTTGAACGCGGTTTTTATGCCACATTAAATAAACTTACATTGGGATGATCTTTTTCAAGTTCCGGTTTCCCAACAAAGTGTTAAAGGCCTAGAAGTATTGTATGTTAATGAGGGGAAGCTCAATTTGTCCCTAGTCTTTCTTTGGGGACAGAGTATCTTGTCACTTGAAAATTGAGTGAGACGCTTGCAAAGGCCTGCTACACAAACATCTACAAAAGTCAGATATGTTTTAAGATTATTATTAGATATGATGTATAGGAACAGATAATTATATAGTGGGGTTTTCTAAAAATGTGTCTGCAAAAGTGGAACTGCACATTAGGCAATATAGGTCTTGTCGCTCCCCAAGCTAGTCATTGGGCAGTGAAAGGAGAAACAGCAGACTGAAGCGCTTATAACCGTCATTCTGCTCTTTACTATCAGTATTATCCTTTTAGGCTCATGAGCAACTGACTCTACGTGCGCCTTCATCCTCTCCCAAGTCTAAGCTCTGCTGTAGCGTGCATTGCAAGAGGCTAAAGACAACTCATATTCCTGTATTTACAATCCTTTGCAGTAAAAATACATATGATTTAATATAAAATACAGAACTGAATGAATGTGTCTTTTATATCTACCTGGAGTTTAGCTATAAAAATGTTCCTGTGATTGTAATGCATTTACTCTGAATGAATGATGCTGCTGCTTAGAATAATAATGACTAACAAAGTACAAAACCTTTCCATTATATTATGTGTGATAATGTAAACATCTAAGTGGTACATACAGATCACTTACATTGAAAAGTATACTAAATAAAATAAACCATTTTCTGCTGTATTTCACCCAGCTAATATCCCGAAACAAAGGCTTGAAAAAAAAATACTATAATGGAAAAAAGTCTATTTCTATTTAAAAAGGATGTTCAAAAGCTTAAAGAACAACTTTTTTTTTTTAAATTAACCCTGGTAGTGGGGCTACCCCTTTACTGCAAGGGTTAAATGCTCATTTTGTCTAGGGAGCAAAAATAGAGAAGAAATACTTCTTGTCCCACCTGGCTGCTACACAGGTCACCACAGCCTTTTCTTCCCCCGAGTGCCAGCAGTCTAAGGACCCACGACATCATCACGTCTAATACAGGTCCATGAGGGATGCCGAGGGACATATCACAGCTGGAGCAGAGGAGGAGAAAGGGGAGTAGTCACTGCCACAGGACCAAGGATCGGGTGAGAATATTAACCCCCCAAGACCAAAACAAGCACTTTCAGTGTGGGGGAAGCCCCACTGCAAGGGTTAACTTTTCAAAATCCTGGAGTTCTTCAAGGGACCATTCACAACATTGTGCTGTGGTAATGCACACTGTACTTCAATGCATGGTGACTGCTGCTTTGCATTGTGCTAAAAAAAAAAAGGGGGGGGGGAACAGGTGTGAGCTTTCGTGCAATAAAGGAGAACTATAAAGGTGAGTGATTTCCACTCACCCTCGTAGTTAGAGCTGATGTGTGGCATTGAAACTGTCACACGTCGGCTCAATAGATCGGGAAGTGAGCGAACGCATACAGTCACTCGCTTACTTCCCGATCAATCAGCCAGCAGGTGGATCTCAACAGTATTGTAGGGATCCATCCCGGCTGCGGCGAGCTCGCTATATAGTGGGCAATAGCTCGCTATATACTGAACTTTGGGTCACGGAAGAACGTCAGTGCATGTCCTCCCGTGACCCTAAAGAGAACTATGAGATAAAAAGGTTACCTCATAGTTCTGTTTTAAGGTTCACTACCAGCCCATTCAAAATAAATCAGCTACCTGGTGGTCATAGTGGTAGCTTTGCTCCTATAATATATCAGCTTGCTTGCCTTCTCCCTTAGGAGTCCCAACAGAACTGCTGACTCCTGTGAGAGTCAGGAAAATAGTTCTGGGTCTTGAACAAATGGGTGGGGCTTAAATTTTGTCCAGCAAGTACTAATGCAATGATCACCAGCATTGACAATGATTTGGCAAACTCTATAGGATTGAATGGAGGGCACTGTGCATGCCTTTTTTAGTTTTTTTAAAGCGGCTTCGCAGCTTCAAGGGCGCTATTGCTCTGAACTGATGGCAGGAGAGTACAAGACTGGCAGGATGGACTGGGGCCGGGTCATAGTACAATATCAGTGTTTAGGTTGCATTTCCTAAAAATGCTAGTTGCCTGGCTGTCATCCTCACCTGCTTTACGGCCGGTTCACACCACAAACAGTGCGTTCCAGAGCAGTTAACCTCTGAAACCCACTATCGCAACATGGCCGCCTCACTGCGTTCAGGGGCGGGAGGGGGTGTGGCGATACATTGAAGTCAATGGCACCACAGCCACGCCCCCCACCCGCAGTGCAATCGCACACACCCAAACGCGTGGCACATTGGTGCCTGCTTTATGGTCCAGTGAGATCTGCAAAAATGCGGCAAGCACTATTTTTGCAGATGGCACTGGACCGGAACGCAGGCAATGCCATTGACTTCAATGCACCGCCACGCCCCTGAACATAGGGAGCCGTCCGTGTTGCGATACCATGTGTTCCAGAGGTTGACCGCTCTGGAACGCATTGTTTGTGGTGTGAACCAGCCCTTAAGGTCAACCTGTGAGGATAGAAATAGAGTAGCAGCTATTGCAGAGTTGAATGTAAGTATACAAGTCTGCAGGCAGTCATCCTTATCCTTGCTTCAGTACTTAGTGGAGTTGCTTTTCTAGTAAGCAAATAGGTCAAAGCATGGTCAAGCACTTACCTTTCTGTGCACACTTGCGCAACAAATTCCCTTTTTTTTTTTTTCCCTTTTATCTTACACCAAAGGCCTGACTTTCTCAACTTTGGGATTAAACCCTGCCAATCTGCCATACTCCTGGCAAAGACAGTGCCACACTGGCCAATAAAGGTGCTCTCGCTGGATGGGGGAATGGAGGGGAGGAAAGTTTAACCTACAAGTAAGGTAAGTCCTTGATAGCAAAGTGAGAATAGCTTCAAGGATAAGAAATTATTCTTAGGATGGACTTTTGGGGCTCATTTATATCAGTGCAGTGCGTTAACACACACACACACACACAAGACACACACGCGTTAATGTGCATTGAGTAGAGGCAGTCCAAAAAAGGCACGCAAAAAAAAAATAAGGGTGCATACATCTATTTTTAGAAACACAATGCATAGTGGCGAGTTGTGGTATGCTGCAATGCTGGAGTGATGGGAAGGTGCAATAAGGTTCCATTAGAATGAATGGTCCCACAGCAAATTACATGGTGATAACGTGTGCATTGTCACAATGAAAATATGGCTAGACTGTTAAAAGTTGAAATGCCTGACTGGTTTGCTTTAAGAAAGAACACTTGTTAAGCTTTTAAAAGTGGGGGGAAAAAAAACTTTAGACTGGCATGATGTCTAAACAATAAATGTAATGCACTAAATAAAGTACTCGCCATTCAACTTATAATGCTGTGCCATTCAAATTCGTTGTTCTGTGCTATTTTTGCCAAGGAGTGCTACTTACCAGCAGATAAAATCTGATTTCTACAGCTCTAAGCGCCTCCACAACCCTTAGGCTGGGTTCACACCTAGGCGTATCGAATATGCGCGTTTCGTGACTCACGTTTTTACCGTGATCCGAGGGCTACTTGGCTGTATCCCAATAGAAACGCGCAACAAAAACGCCCCAAAGAAGCTCCTGTACTTCTTTGGCCGTAGGGCGTTTTGTAGCGCGTTCATACGGCCTGTAATACGCCCAGGTGTGAACCATACCCATAGGAAATAATGGGAATTCTGTGTTTGAGCGTTTTGCAGAGCGTTCGAACACGCTACGAGACGCCCAGGTGTGAACCAGGCCTTAAGGTGCCCATACACTGCATGATTCTTGTACGAGAATCGCGGGAAATCCCGCGATCGTACAAGAATCGTGCAGTGTGAATGAAGACATGCGACCGTTTCTACTGTACGGTCGCACGTCTTTTGTCTAAGGAGCATGCTAGAAAACCAGCCGAGAATCGTACGATTTTTGGCTGGTTTTTAGCATGCTTTATGCTCTCAGAAATCTTGTATTATAAAATACTAAATAGAACTAAGAAAGCTAAAAGACATGATTGATCCTTTCCAGTGATCCTTTGTGTACTCAGATGGCCATGATATCAATCCACATCTTACAAATGCATATCCCACACTTTGTTGTCCATATTTTCATGAAGAATAGATTTAATAAAAATATTTCACAGTGTCAGTGGTACATGTCAAGCCATTCCAGGTCCTTTACTGTAGTGCAAGCAGCAGAGTTGGAAAATGAATGAGCAGCTACAGGAGTGTTGTACAAATTGTGATTGGGTTTACATTTGCCACATCACAGCTTCATCAGCCTGGTGATTTGATCCCTCCTTTTGCGATCGCCTGCCCAAGATTTGCTCTTTGTACGGCATTTGAGCAGTTCTTCTCTGTAATCCTGGTGATGCATTGGGCAGTATCCTTGAGGCTCACACAACAACTATGAAAGAGCAAAAAGGTAAGCAATATTGATTAATTCCCTTGCCTTACCATAAAGTTGACCTCCAGGCGCACAAAAAACATTTAATAGAACCCTCAATAGCCAGAGAGGATATAAAACCCTTTGTCTAGGTTTGGAATGGCATTTGGTGCATACAAACTCCACAACTACACATTTCCCTTCCCCAATTTCCTGTCCAGGAGACAAAAAACAAGAACACTATATACCCAAATATACCCAAATATACCCAACGTGAAGGGAGCTTTCCTCTCACCAACACTTCCAGCTGCAATTTTCCCCTGGACAATAGCCATATACACAAAGTAGGAGAAACTCTGTAGGGAATAGTAGATTTGGGTGTATACCACAGGTATGCCTAAGAGCTACAGGACTGTTCATGCCTCAAACAGTTTATTGGTGCCAAACAACCCTCAGCATCTAGCGTCTGATAATAATACTAATATTACTACAAATGGCACGCACCTATCCCCACCACATTTCATGTTCTGTTTGAAAGGCCACGTGTTTCAGACTGAAAAGCTACATGGTGCTATACTGCTTGGAAAGACTAACTATATATGTTTTTTAAAATTCATCTTTGTAAAGAAACCACAAGGCTTCCTCTGGTTGGCAGTGCTAAACCATGCAGCTGAGTTCTGCTGTGTCATTCACTGACACTAATGGCTCCAAAGGAAGGTTGGAGGCTTAGAGGAAGTCTCCTTCCTCCTACCCCCCATTCTGTGGGCAGGGCACAGTGGGGGGGGGCCTTGGGAGGAGATCCCTCCTTTTGGGTGTTGGTTGCTGAGGGTTGTAGTGCCTCTTTTTAAACACATTTTTGGTATGTGTTATATGTCGTTCCACCAGTAATGTGGCTAGTTAGAGGCATGAGCTGCAGTGCAAACACCTTTTCAATCTGCAAGCAGCAACCCCCGACAATAGGCAACCGAATTACTCCTTCCTACACTGCTGGGGTTAGTGTTACACACGAGTATTGGGGATTTCCCCTAATTTCACGCTTTTGGCAATCTCCTTTTTGTGTTGGAACATATATAAGGAGAGTTATCAGCCAAGGATGGTTTTTTGTACTTGCATCAGGCCTTTGGGTCATAGGCAACAGCCTATCTGTGTAAGCAAGGCAAACCTAGGCTGGTAACAAATGTTTTACAGACTCCTTTTGCAAATAAACATTGGTGTGTCCATAGGCACTAGAGGCTTATTTCACGCCAATTTTAGGTGCATACTCTGGTTGTTTCCAGATAGTTCATAAGGAGAGACTGAGCGTGATGGTCAAAACTTGATAGTGCTGCAGACATATTGTGCCTCAGGGCTAAAAAGTTTTTGTTGCTGTTAGCAACTCTGATTTACCACCTGGCTGTGAGCTCACAAGCTGGAGGGCTATGATTGCTCTCACCTGAACCGGGTGCTGGGGAATGTCCTTCAGCCCTAATTAAGTGAACTTCCTTTTACTTGCCTGTTAGAGCATGGAAGCCTAACGACGCAAATCCCACAGAAGGGTAGATGCTGGATGAGGTTACTTTATCTTCAAGGCTTCACTTCCTTGGTAGATATGAACAGCCTCTGAAGCTTTTATGAGACTTAACTCACTATATGGTTAAGTCTGCCTCTCTGTATAAGAGCCAGCATCTATCTTTTTCATGGTGCGGATTATTTTCTTCCAGTCTATAACTGCTAACAGGCTGAGCCGATCCATTCATTGTATCGGCCTAGGTGTGTCTGCCTCACAGGTGTGGGGCCTTTTTACTGATTACTCTGGTTGCAACCTTGGGTTTCTTGTACATCTCAAAGAGTGTACAGCACCTTTAAAGTCCATGATGAGGGCCTCTTTAGCTGAATTACTACAGCTCCACTCTCACCTGGATAGAAGCTGTATATGTATAAGCATTTACTGGCTAAGTAAAAGGACATGCAGCGTCCCTGGCCGTATGCTGACACAGCAATAAAAGGCTTTTCTCTGGTCTACATCTCTTGCACAGCTTGATGCATATATTGGTAGTCAAGCACCTGTAAGCACTTGCATGACTATGCTGTCTGGAAACTATACCATTTACCTCTTTAAAGGTGCCTACATACCTCATGTGTTGGTATCACTATAATGTCGCTGGAATAAACACTTTACTGTTTTAGTAAAAGCACCATTCATTCATGAAGTGGTTAATGAACCTCAATCAGGCATACCTTATGTATGGGTGCTACTATGCTGTCTCTATGATGAACCATTTACTACTTTTAGTGAGAGCGTCACAGGTACGTAGGGTAGTTATGAATCTCAGTGGTTGCGCATACCTTGTTAATTGGTATTACTATACTGCCGCTGAGATAACCAAATTTATTTGCTTTAGTAAAATCATTTTGGTTCAGGAGATGGTTAGGACCCACCGTATATGCATTTCTTATGTTAGAATTACCTACTGTCTCTTAAATGTACCAATTGCGACTTTAGTAAAAGAATATGGTTCAGGAGACAATCGGGACCCTTTGTATGTGCATAAATAATATGGTTCAGGAGATAGTTGAGACACTCAGTATGTGCATGCCTTATGTGTTAGTATCACTATACTGCCACTGGAATAAACACTTTATTGCTTTAGTGAAAGCACCATTGGTTCATTAAATAGTTAATGAATCGCAGTTGGGCATTCCTTTATGTATTGGTGTTCCTATGCTGTCTCTATGATGACCCATTTACTACTGTTAGTGGGAGCATCACAGGTACGTGGGGTAGTTGTGAATCTCAGTGATTGCGCATACCTTGTTTGTTGGTATTGCTGTACTGTCGCTGAGATAACCAATTTATTTGCTTTAGTGAAAGAATAATGGTTCGGGAGATGGTGGGGTCCCTCGGTATGTGTATACCTTATGTTGGTATTACCATACCGTGTCTGAAATGAACCAATTACTGCTTTAGTAAAAGGATATTGGTTCAGGAGATGGTGGAGACTTGCACTATTGCATACCTTAGATGTTGGTATTGCTATACTGTCTCTGAGACAAACCGATTTATTTTAAGTGGTAGCTCTTTCGCTCATGAGGTAGTTATAAATCTCAGTGTTGGGCATACCTAATGTATTGGTATTACGATGCTGCCTCTAAGATGACCAATTCACTGCTTTTATGTAAACATTATTGGTTTATGAGATGGTTATGAATCTCAGTGTTTGCGCATAACTTATGTATTGGTATTGCTATACTGTCTCGGAATAACTTAAATCATTGATTTAGTGGAACCATCATGGTTCATGAAGTAGCAGTCAATCTCTGTCCTGGTGTATATCTTGTGAGCTGGTATTACTATACTGTCTCTGAAATAACCAAACAACTGCTTTAGCGAAGGCATCTTTGGTTCAGGAGGCCGTTACGGATCTCAGTATTTGTACATACCTAATGTGTAGGTATTAATATACTGTCCCCGACATAACCAATTTACTGCTTCTGTGAGAGTACTTGTACAGGACGGGATTACCATTTTTTTATGATGCAGCATCAAATATGATGTAGCCAGGTATTGCTAATGGGTTTGTTTCTTAGCTGGTTTGCGTAACTTACCATCTACAGACTAACCGATCCCATCATGGTAAAAGTATTATTGGTTGTCACGTAGTTATGAACCTCAGTAACTGTTTATCTAATTTCATATCTTGTGTATCTATATAGCCACAAAAGGTACAAGATACCCGATTTACCACTTGGTTGGAAGCATTGTTGGTTATGGTGTAGTATGACTCAGCATCTACATTTCTTCACAGTTCGTTCTCTATGGACTGTGTAACTATATTTTCTACAGAACGACCAGTTTTACTCTTTTTAGTATCACTGGTTTGGATTATAGTTAGTTATCTTAGCATTTAAATATCCCAGAGTTACTACTTTAGGCAATTGTATAACTTTACAGTACTTAGTTCAGTGCAACCCTATCGGATTACACGTCTGGGGCTGCAACTACAGTTACAGGCTAACTACTTGGGGGTGGTTGGTTAATAGAAGACCAAGCCCATGACAAGTCGTTTAAAGGGTTGTACCATGATGTCAACACCTTACTTCGACCCGAACCTACTAGTAGTTTGCAGGAGGGGTGACGGCTTGGGCATGCTGTAGACTCCTTGCAGCCTATATTTTGTCAACCTTCAACCCCTTAGACGGCTTAAGCACTGTTTTTCTGAGTTCCCAAGGCCTCACAAGGTTATTCTTACATGTCTTCCCACTTTATCGAGCATCCATGTTATAACCGTAAACTTTGTGACTGATTTACAGCAGCTGGCTGCTGCTCGTGCTCCCAACATATAGGCTAGTGTCCTTATGTAATTTGGTGGTATCTATGTTACACCACAACGATGAACTGAACATATCAGATAGTGTTCTTACGTAATCAGTGGTGTTTGTTACACCACATCGATAAACTGGGGGCAAGTTGACCCAGTTGGTAGTACTGATGGCAGTGTAGGGCGGCAGCCAGACTTGCCACTTACATTTTTTATTCTAACTCGTCCATGAGTAGTAACAAAGCTCCCTCTTCCAGGCTTCAGAATTTGCCAGATGCTACTTGAAAATCGGTCACCCTTGGAGGAAATCCAAGAATATTTTGGCCTGTACAGAGCCTTATGAAGACTGTAAAGCGGCATAACACCAATGCCTTGTGACTTCAGCTATTCATTGACCTTTCATCCTCCAAAGGATTTCTGGCATGCTCCAAGACGACGTTGTCTTCTTGGACCTGGGAGAGCTGAGGTTTCCCCAAAGCATATCTGGAGGAAAGCCGCTAGGTCCAATGCCAACCTCTGGTATTGCACTGCAGAGTGGTCCTCCTCTACTGCTGATACCAATCTTTTGGCAGGGAGGAGGCGCTTGGAAGTTGTCTCTTCCCCACCCCCACCAAAAAAAAAAAGTATGATTTCTTGCCTAATCTCTCAGATGCTGCCCTGGAAGATGACTCGGGAAAAAGCAACTTAGGTACCTGGTAACTTCTTTTCCAGGAATCTTCCAGGGCAGCAGGGAATCCCACCCTGCCTGTTGAGGGGTGTGTTCAACATTGTTTGCATTTTTACTATCTGGTGGTCCTTCTACCTATGGTTCTTTTGTAATACTGAGGTGGTGGGGCTATACCCCCCCTTTTATTTTAATTGTGGATTCTCTCTCTCAGATGCTGCCCTGGAAGATTCCTGAAAAAGAAGTTACCAGGTACCCAACTTGCTTTATTATAGCCATCTTAAAATAGCAATAGGGCACACATAGAAGTATGATAACATAAATAGAACAGAAAAAAAAGACAGATGTCAAAAACATTGATATGAAGTCCTACCTTGTATTCCGGGAAAAATTCTTTGTAACCCCCTTTAAGCAAATACAGTTCTGGGTAATGGAGACTTGGATATTCATTCCTGGCCCGGTCCTCTTCTCTCAAAAACCGACACCTTTAATGGAAACATTTATATGGTTAAATGACCGTAAAAGCGTTATAGGGTCAAAGACCAGTAAGCTAAAATACAAAAATTGACATTTTGCGTTCCCCCTTAAACATATATCCAAAGTCCCACACCTGTACAAAGCTTAGGATACTTACCAGTTGAATCTTTTATTAAAATAAAACAGTCAAAAAAACCAAACCAAAAAAAACCCCCCGATGTCAGCGCTTTTAACTTCACTCCTCCAAATTGTTACATACATGTGCCAAGACTGAAGCCAAAGTGTGGGAGATGCCCAATATAGCCTCCTTCAGTAATCCCCACTCTGATGCACATGTCATGCACACCTCTGGTTGACAGCGCTACTACATGTGGAGGCAGAAGGGCCATGGTAAGTCCCCGTTCACACCTTTGCATTCCGGTATGCCGAGGGGTGAACGGTGTCTATTGGTCTTTGGTTGAACAGCCTGGTGGAGATGACTGGCAGTCTGCAGCACCACCAGAAACATCAGAGAGTAAAAGAGGTAGCTGGGCTGAACAGAATTGGAAACTGGTGGCCTGGGTGATGCACAGAAACAAATGGAAAATATAGTCTGTTTTCACCACAGCTAGAAAACAAAAAGACTACAATACAAGAGCAAAGCCAATTTAAAGTGGAACTATGGGCAAAATTTAAAAAATATTACATATGATACAGTCTGAATATCATTACTATTTTTTGTAAGTCGCCTTGAAATACAGCTTTCTTACCTGCTGATCCAAGTTAGCAGACCAGTTTTTTTCCACTTCAACAGGTAAAGAGGTCCAGCAAAAGTCACAATTACAGGGGTTAGGACAAACTATAAAGCACTGACAGGAATGGCAGGTGCAGATGCTCCCATTTGAGGAAATATGCCTCTATAATGGTCTACGCCTGAAAAGCTGTTGGAGTTATATAAATTCTGTATAATAATACATTTACACAGTCTTCAGAGACAGTGTCCACAATGTCCAGTAGAAGCAGTGATCTAAAAGCCAAGCTAAGAATGACCCCTCCGGATAGCTGCAATCAGTGAAAACTCCAGCAGTGATATACAGAAGAGTTGAGTGAAGAAAAAAAAATTAACAAAAAAGTGCTACAAAAAAATAGGTTTGTCAAACACAGCAGAGCTGGAGAAAAGATATCCATCCTCCTAGGGCACTAGGAAAAACCTGGCACATACTGGTAGTAGGAGGTGTAATTATCAGCTGGCCTACAGTGTCCTATCCTCTTTTAGGCAGCAGTATAACCCAAAGTTTAAAGACTTCCTGTGTCCCCCAATGCACAAAAAAAATTAAACAGTTGTGGCAGGATCAACAGGTATTATAACAATGGGAAGAAAAACCATCTGTGTTAATGCTAGTGACAGACGGCATCATAGATCTTATTTTTTTGTTTTGCATTAAAGCTACTCCTTATATGCTCCCTGTATATGGTTTAGGGCCTTGGTTCTCAACTGGTGGGTCGTTTTCAGTGGGTCGCCGCAGCCTTCCACTTTTCTAGGCGAGAGGCTCCTCTGCCTCCCCCTAGCACAGCACTGTCAGTTCTCTCGCCAAGCAGACATTCAAAATATGCTGCCCGACACAGAGTGTCAGCTTGAGGTGGGATGAGATGGGGGCTACGACTGCGAAGGAGCTCCATCCATACGTGCATTGCTTACAGCTCCCTCACATGTTCTATAGAGGTGCCTGGACCGGGGTGACATCACAGTCTGGCTCCCGACACCTCTACAGGGCGCACAAGGGCGCTGTACCAGCAATGCACTTATAGATGGAGCTCAGTCACAGCACAGCTGCCCACACTAGACCCCAGGCGGAGGATCCACTCCAGTTCTCGTAAGGTAGGGAGACTGGGTGGACCTTAAAAAAAAAAAATTTAAAAAAAAAAATGTTGGGAGTGTGTATGTATGAGAATGTCTGTGAGTGTGTGAGATTCAGTCTGTGGTTGTGTATGCATGTCAGTGTTTTTGAGGGCCCGTTTACACTAGTACAGTGCATTAATCACATAGTTCCATGCAAATAACGCACTGTACCAAGCAATCACACCTACCGTGCATTCTGTTTTGGGTGGTGTATTGCGTTGCCATTCATTTGAATTGTACCCCAAAGGCACCTCCCACCCACAGCTCGTACGCCTGCACCGGAACGTGCGGTACCCTAATTCCGTGCATTCCATTGCAGTGCGACTTGGGTCACAACTTAATGACCAAGGACAAATGTGGGTCCTGAGGTTACACAGGTTGAGAACCACTGGTTTAGAGGGTTATTAAAAGAGGAAATATTTTAAGCTATATAGAAGGCATTTGTATTTGTATATCTGAAATACCCCCCCAAAAAAACAAATACTTGCTTTACATGGTACTTACATTTTTGGACCTCTCTCCGAAGAGAACTCACAATGAAACACCAATACAATGCGCTTTTGTGCATCTGATGGAAGCAGAGGTTGATTTAGGAAATAAGCTAGTAAGTCTTCTGGTCGATGGAGGTTTAATGCGTCCTTAATGGTCGAAAGAAAAAAAATGGTATACTGAATGTTGCTGGAAACATTTTCGCAAACCCCTACGAGTTGTTTTTTTTTAATATGCATGCAAACCTAAATTAGTGCTATAGCAGCGAAGCCAATATCATCAATTGCCAATATGTATTGGCTTCAGTTACTGTCTTTCCAATTAACAATGCAGCAATGCACGGAGATATAACCAATAGTGTTAAACCCACTGTGTCCAACCCCCCCCCCCCCCCAAGCTTTTCTACAAAAGCTTCTTTGTTCCCAACTATGGCCACCAGCCTTCATAATGCAACCTGCTCTGTAATTTTAAAAATGCAGTTTGTCATGACAGCAGAGTTGGCCTAAGCCATGGTCATACTAACATAATAAAATCACCACGCAGCCTACTTCCTACTTCCACTTAATTGTGAGAAGTCCCTCTGGCAGCATAGAGATAAAAGAGGCCAATGGAGGAAAGGGACCTTCGTGCCCAACCTAATATTGATACTAAAAGCTGGTCTTTAAATTAGGGTATTGGGGTCCTTTGATACCTTAAAGGTGAACTCCAGGCAAAAAAAAAAAGGAAGGACACAAATTAATGCAATTCTGTATTCGTGAATGCATTCTTAAATTGATTTTAATGCATGGACTGTGAGTACCTGAATTTGACCTGATAGCAGCCTCTTCCAGTCCACTGTACAGCTGAGCTCAGAGCGGGAGAGGGAAAAGTAGCTAAAAGGAGCCAGTGCAAGTAGCATGCCGATAGGAGGAGAAAGTAGAATGACAGAGGAGCTCATCAGTCTACTGCTTCTCCTTTGACATCTAGTCACAGGCTGTGGGAGAGGCAGAGAACTTTAGGTGTTACTAAATTACAACAGAAAAAAAAATCAGGTATCTGGCCCTGCCAGAAAGGACTGTGCTGTGTAGACCTTAGGACTGGATGGACAGAAAAACAGATCCCTTGTTTGGTAAAACAACTCTCCTATGTATTTCATCCATGTAGTCAGCAGTTTGCCTGGAATATTGCTATAAAAAGTAATGCCTAATCACAAATCAAACAATAATAACTCATATCTTCAAAATAACAACAAAGACAGCTTTAGGAATGATTAGCAATGACATTCTACAAACACATACTTCTAGATCATTGCAGGCTTTTTATTCTACCTTATTTTTTTCCCCTCACCATTCTTCTCACAGGGGCTATTTTTTGAACTAAGGGCAGATGAATCCATCTCCCTTTACTTCCTGGAACTCTGGCACATGTGACCATACACCATCTCAGGGTAGGAAAATGCCTTTCCCTGAGATCTCATGAGATTACAAGATGAGATTTCCCAGCAATGCTCTGCTGAGGTAAGCTTCCCAGGATGCAATGTTCGGGCACAGATTACATAATTTGTGCCAGCACAGATTACATCATTTGTGCCAAAGACCAGGAAGGAGGAAAAAATAAATAAATTAGTAATTAGAAGAAATAAGTAGAAGAAAAATATGTTTATTTACCTAATGAACACAAGATGATTTCATATCAGCATGCAGCGTTGTATGCTGATGCGATTTTTAGTGATAGGGCGTAAATGTTCAATTTAAGAAGAAATTTCCATAACAGCTTTGTCATATTTTAGTACACATAATCATACTTTCTGAACTGCAGTGGCTCACCTTGATATGGCCCCCTTCGTATTCATAAGGATATCGGCAGTCGATGAGGTAGAATTTTTCCACAAGACTACTGAACTCTCCGTGCATTAATGCTGCCAGCTAAAACCATCAAGAACTCGTGTTACTTAAACAATGAAATATGCATGCGAATGGTAGCCAGGCACAACTTTGGCCAAGTGCCTTAACAGGCTCACTAGAAAAACACAGAGTGCTTAAAGTAGAATTAAAGTCTAAATTATGTTTGCATATACTGTATCTACTGTTGGTAAGCAGGAGATACATACCACAACATTAAAAAAAGGTACCAAACAGGTAACAGGTAAATACTTACCTGTGCCTGCATCACTCGCTCCTGGCTGCAGTACACTGGTCCCGGACGGCTGTGCAGGAGGACGATGTGGGCGGGCGCATGAGGAGTCCTTGTCACCGGCGGGGAGAGCAGAGACACTGTGAATGCACGCAGCCGGGAGCGTGCACACCAGATAGACTCTATACGACACAGAAGTCTGCTCTGGATCAAAGAGCGGTACCAGGGCTGGAGAGACTGCTGGAAACGGGTGGAAGGAATGAGATGATCGCAGGAAGAGGCATCACATAGGGCAGAGCTCAAAATTTCCACTCGCCTGCTCGCATTTTGCGAGTGGAAATTCAGCCGGTGTATTAGGGCTCACACTTTCTCTGCCTCATGCTGATGCTGCCCCGCCGACACACACGCCCACACCACTGCTGGAAGCAACATGTCTGTGTCTACTTGATGTGTTATCTCAAACTAAAGCTTAAATGCAAGTGCTGCGCTTCCAGAGACCTAAGAGATAAGAGAAACAGAAAAGTCCAATCCTAAGTTATATCTTCACAGAACATTGTGCTTTTGTGGAGGAAATATTATATTTATTACAGTGTGTATTTGATGTTATCACAGTTTCTTCTTTTCACATTGTTGGTGATTGTTTTTACAGATTTTTGTTTAGTAGTGTAGCACGGCACTTGTATTTAGGTTTTGGTTTGAGATAACACAAAGTGTAGTGCTCACATTAAACACATAGTTAAATAATAGTATTCATCAATATTAAATAGTATTAGTAATTAAATAACTATTCATTCATATTTAATAATAAAATAGTAAAATGAATGCGTTGCAGGGTCCCGAGTATTACATTGAAGGGTCCTGAGTCTATTCCGTGGCATAGTTCAGAGTCTATCGCGTTGGAGGGTTCTGATTTTTATTGATACTTATTTTCCTTTATGTTTACATTGCGTTATGTTAATATTGTTAAAGTTGTTATGGTTAATATTTATTTTTGTAACTTTATTCTGAATGAAACATTTAACAGTGTAATTTCATGAGATAATTTAAGAGGGTGTGTTTAGGGGTGGAGTTAAGGTCGGGGCAGGGTAGGGGTTAGGTGGGGCAACTGGTGGCGAGTAACTCTTAAGGACTGGCTAGTACTTCAGAACCTGAAATTTTTAGCCCTGACATAGGGTAAGTATTAAAAGCAGAATTACAAAAGCGTAAAAAAAAACCAACTTTAATGTCACTTGAAAGCTTTACTAAAAAGTGTGACTTCAAGTGATCCTAAACTCAAGAGTTACATTTTAAATACATTCAAGTACCTTAACTATTAACAAAAAATGTATCTTATTTGTGTATCACTCGGCTGTAGATCTTCAAATCATCTCTGAATTGGTGTTGACACTGTCCTTCCTTCTGGAGGGTGGCTACTTTTGTTCTCCATGGTCCCTGTGTGTGTTGTAGAGTAGTCACTGCTCCAAGCTCGCTACAGTGATGGACTACAATCTCAATACAAATTAGTAAACTAAAATGTGAGATTTTAGTCCATCACAGGAGTGAGCTTGAAGCAGTGGCTAATTTACAACACACACAGGGACCATGGAGAACAAAAGTAGCCACCCTCCAGAAGGAAGGACAATGCCAGAAGGAATTCAGAGATGATTTGAGGATCTACAGCCGAGTGATTCACAAATAAGATACCTTTTTGTTAATAGTGAAGGTACCTGAATGCATTTTTTAAATTTAACTCCTGAGTTTGTTAGTTTAACATGCCTTTAATTAACCCATACAAATTATTCATGCAATTCCAGCTGTAAAATATACACTCACAGTCTCTCCAGTAACGTAGCGAAGATCCTGGTGCCGTCCAGTCACAGTGGGCAAAGCATAAACCTGTGACACAAAAAATGTTGAAACACAAATGCTAATTGCAAAATGTTACTAGTTACTCTTGCATTATTTAAAAACATGTCAGGACTACCGTATATACTCGAGTATAAGCCGAGATTTTCAGCCCATTTTTTTTGCTGAAAAGTGCCCCCCTCGGCTTATATTTTGTACTGTGCCATTCTGTGTAAACGCCTGTTCTGGGGTCAGCTTACTGCGTACCAATGTTCTTCTCAGGTTCAGTGGTTGCTTGAAAGCTAGTATTGGGGGCTGAGGGAATAATTAAGAACGGGGTCTTCTGAGAGTACTGGCTGTAGATCTTTGATAATTTTGCATATTACCTCTAGAGTAGGGTTGTAGGTAACTACAAGAGGGGTCCTGGTTTGGTTTTTCTTCTCTTTGTGCTGTAGCAGTCTTCCCCGTGGTGTTCTTAGGGCAGATGTAATCTTTTTAGAAATAGTCTTTTCCCTATAGCCCTTTCGCCGAAATGCATCAGCCAGTGTGCTCAGATGTTTGTCTCTGCCCTCAGTGTCAGAGCAAATGCGGTGGTATCGGATTGCTTGGCTGTAGATGACACCCTGTTTAGTGTATTTTGGATGGAAGCTGGAATTATGGAGGTAGCTGTACCTGTCTGTGGGTTTTCTGTACACAGAGGAACAGAGTGAGCCAATTCTGACCGTTATGGCACAATCCAGAAAAAACACACTGTGTACTGAGAAATTCATTTTAAATTTCATGGATGGATGGAATGAATTTAATGATTCATGGAAGTTTAAAAGGCTTTCTTCTCCTTCTGTCCATATTACAAAAATATTGTCAATATAACGATAATATTTGAATGGTTTATGAGGGTGAGTGGCTAGGAATCTGTTTTCTAGGTCAGCCATGAAGAGATTGGCATATTGTGGTGACATTTTTGTCCCCATAGCAGTCCCGGTCATTTGTAAATAGATGTTGTCATTGAAATTGAAGTAGTTGTGTGTCAGTATAAATTCAATGAGTTTGGCGATGGTTTCACTATCATATTTTTGTCTGACATTATGGGAGGAAAGGAATTTGGTACAGGCCTCAATACCATCTTTATGGGGGATGTTACTGTACAAAGATTCCACATCCATGGTGACAAGTATAGTATTAGCAGGTAGGTTGGTGATTAGGCTCAGTTTGTTCAGGAAATCTGTGGTGTCTTGTATAAAACTCCCAGTGTTGATAACTAGGGGCTTTAGAATGTTTTCAATTAAGACAGATATTTGTTCTGTACATTATATATATATTTACACATACATACATATATACACACACACACACACACACACACACACCTTACCTTTGTAAAATCCCCAACCAGTTGTCTGTGACTATAATCCTCATCCAAAGCTTTAGTAATGTCTACATCACAAAGAGACAAGGTCTTTTTCAGAGACGCTCCCTGAATAAATAGAAACAGAAGTGTAAAACAAAGCAAACTCTTTCAAAGTGGAACTACAACCTCCTATCCATTACAGCCAAGGAAGGTGCCACCTTAGCCTCTGTTTGGATCGCAGTTGCCATGCTGCAGCACATGTGATCAGCTATGAAACCAGCCACTTGAGGGCTTGAAGTTTGATTGAGAACTGAAATAAGCACAACGGCAACCTTGACAGTTGGAATGCCTTAGTAACTGTTTTAGGGGACATTAACTGGTGGGTTAAGTTCCTCTTTAAAAAGGACAGACAGCAAAAACAACAAGTGACCATGAGCTTATACCAGTGAGCAATGCCAAGGATGTAAGGCTCACGGAACTGGCCAGCTGCAAGCTATTCTGTTCTGATGCAAGCCTTACATCCTTAGCAGTGAAAGGGTTAGAAAGCAATTTCAGGCAACAAGTGAAAGTATTTAGTGAGTTCCTAAGACAACTATTGAACTAAAGCTATTAAGTATGTTTAAAGTGCATTTCCACTTTTGCAGCAAAATTGCTACATGTTCCCAATCAAAAAGAATAAGCTAAAAAAAAAAAAAAAATGCTTTTTGCAGTTTAAAATTGCTTTGACATGGTTTCTAAGCTTCTTAAGGGTTAACATTTCTACTTGCCTCTCCTTTTGTAATGTTAAAGAGGGCTGTGAGGGATTTCTCCATTGTATGTTAACGAAAGTTAAGGAAAGAAAAACAATCCTCCAATTTCTGTCCTAAGTCTTTCTATAAAGGACAGATGACTGTGAAGATGCTGAGGAAATCCAGGAATCAGCCATGTTGCCCGCAACAAAACATCCTAAAAGGGTATTTTATCAATGTATCATTTTATATATATATATATATATATATGTGTGTGTGTGTGTATTTTTTTAATTATTTTTTTGTATGCTGTGTGGATACATAGAGGGGTTTTCTCAAATTTGACAAAAAAGTGGAAAAGCACTTTAAATTGACCTCAGCCTGAGTTTTATGTACTCCCTAGCAGAGTAAGCCTACACAGATCCATAGAGAGTCTGTAAGAATGTACTACCTGAAACTGGGCTGTATAACCTACTTTCTTTGAATTTCCTGCCTGCATCTCCCATTACATTCAAGTTAACAAGACACATATGAAACTGGAAGCCAATTCCTTCCCCCGAGTTTGGATAAGTTAGTTTCTCTACCTTCTGTTACTTTTCTCTAGACCAGTACTAGGAGTACTGTGCGGTGCATAAACCTGCAACTCTGCTGATAGCACTTTTATAAAGAATGGTTTGTTAGCTGTCAGATATAATACTGTTATAAATTACAATAAGATCAATACAAAACAATTACAAACAGAAAGCAATGGAAAAGCTATGCTGCCAGTGATACACAGGATATGAGAAAACTGGGTTGGACTGCCCATTTCCTTGATGTCAGCCCTGCTGCTTAGGCGAAAAACATGCAGTGAGTGCATCTTCATTACAAGGTCAAAGACCTTTCTGATTTGGATCTCCTATAGTCTATAATAAATTTAGAGTGTTTGAAAGAGATCAGATAAGTTCTCTGGAACAAGCTAACCTATATCCCGAGACAAAAGAATAATTCATCTTGATACCAGAAAGGATATCTGCAACAACATATATAATAAGCTAAGTAGATAAAGAACACTTCATGTAATCTGAATTCACCATTTCCATCCATATAATCCAGTGCACACCCCATTTTCTTACCCGTCTTCTCGGCTGAGAGTTTTCTTCATCTTCAGACTTGAGTGAACTGCTTGTACTGCGTCTTCTTTTTACCCTAACAGGAGTTTCACCATCTTGGGGCCGTACAGGTCTCTTCAACACAGGCCGATCTAGCTTCTCTGGCATAGATGGTGATCGATAAAGACGGCTCCGATTCATAGACACCTATACACATGTAAAGAATCCATTGAATTCATACATTTTGAGTAAAAATAAATAAATAGAATAAAAAAAGACAACAGCCACCTTATAGAACAACCCCTTGTGGACCAGAGCAATGACTACATTTCCACTATGGTCTGTTTATTTGGCGAGAACCGTGTTATTACTTAAGATAAAAGTAATACGTTGTTTTTATTTACTGTATGTTTAGACTATGCTTTCTCTAGCAACATTGCTTTGGTAAATTTAGAGACAAAAAATGCATTAATTATATATATATATATAGCCAGATTATCATGACCACCTGACGTTTGTAGGCAAATTAGCTATAATTTTGCGCTGAAGTTGCTAGAGGGCCAGACCATTATAAATAGGGAAGCAGGTTGTTTACCACGACAGTAGAAGTGATTTTTTTTCTGAAGATATGGGTGAACAACGCGATTTAACAGCCTTTGAACGTGGGATGATTGTTGGCGCTCTGAGCCATGGAGTGAGTATCAGCAAAACAGCAGAATTCGTTAAATGTTCAAGAGCAGCTGTTGTTCAAGTGTTTAAAGACTGGACTGTCAGCCGAAAATCTGGGTCTGAACGTGCAAATTGTGGCCGTCAGCGACTAGTCAATGTTAGGGCAGAACGGAGAGTGGCAAGACTGGTACAAGACAACTGAAGGGCAACAGTGCATCAAATTACTGCAGATCTTAATCAGAGATCATTTGAGAGGATCCATGAACGCACTGTTGGCCGTACACTGCATCTTTATGGGATATGGAAGCCGAAGGCCTGTTCGAACACCTTTGCTGTCTGCCGTTAACAAGATAAAACGTCTCCAATTCGCACAGGAACACAACGATTGGACAGTCGAGCATTAGAAAAAAAGTCATGTGGTCCGATGAATCACGATTCCAGTTGCATCATGCAGAGGGCAGAGGGAGAATTTGGCGGGAACAGCATGAAAGCATGCATCCCACATGCATGAGTACAACCCTTCAAGCTGGTGGGGGCAGTGTTATGGTTTGGGGCATGTTTTCCTGGCATGATTTGGGCCCTTTAATTCGTGTGGAACAATGTCTGAATAGCACAACATACCAAAGTATAGTTGCTGATCAAGTTCATCCCATCATGTTGATGGCGTATCTCAATGGAGATGGCTTCTTCCAACAAGACAATGCGCCATGCCACGGTGCTCGTATTGTGCAGGAGTAGTTTCAAGAACATGAGGGAGACTTTACCTTGCTTAGTTGGCCTCCACAATCACGAAATCTCAATCCAATTAAGCATTTGTGGGACAAAGTTGAAAGAGCCATCAGGCAGCTGGTTCCACAACCATCAAATCTCACAGAACTGGACAGTGCTATTCATCAGGCATGGTGTCAGATTCATCGCATCACCTTTCAACATCTCGTAGAGTCAATGCCAAGAAGAATCGCCGCAGTATTGAAGGCAAAAGGTGGCCCAACGAAGTACTGATGGGGTGGTCATAATAATCTGGCCACTCAGTGTATATATATCTATACAGCTATATATTTTTCTTTTAAATTTTACTCTGACCAGTGTTTATTGTTTTAAAAGAAAGTACACATTTAATAGATTTTTTTCCCCCCTATTTAGAAATGACACTAAAAATATAAATTACAAAAGAAAGTTGAAAAAAAAAAATATTGAACAATAACTATTTCTATTTTACCTCTGTTAAACCACAGCTAGCCCTAATTAACTTCTTACTCCCTTTAGCTATTGTGTTATATTTATTTACACCATAATTCTTTTTGTTTTGTTAGTTACTTTTGTCAGCGCTGCATAAGAAAATGCACAAAATTGAAAATGTGCAAAATAACCTTGCCATGCTTTGTACCATTAACAGAACTTACCATTTGATTCATATGTAGATTAAAAGGTCACACCTTTGATCTACATATAAATCAAATAGTGAATACAATAAATGAATGTATGGTTTCATTTTATTTACTCAATGACACTCACAGACACTCACAGACTAAGTGTCATTTTACACAGGAGTGATTGCATCTTGCAAGCTACTCTTGCTGTGTAATACAAAACAAATACCAGTTGTCTTTTTGACAGCTGCTATTTCCAGATAATAGTGGTGGGACAGGAGGGGTGCATTGAGGAACCTGGCCCTGGGACGGCAGCAGCGAGTAAATCTGGCCTGGTCAATACATAGTTATTTAAGTGTCACTACTGCTACTTATTTAATTTAGTGGTGAGAGCAAAATCCTATAGGATTGTGTAAGAGTGGGAGGAGATGACAACTCGGAAGCAAAAGACCTCAAATTTTCCATGAGCTATAGAAACTCTGTGGGTATTAAAACCAACAGCATTGACCCAAAACTGAAACACTGGTACCGCACCCTCTCAATCTTAAAGCACATACATTTATAATGTCCCTATAAGTACATCCCCATAGGACAATATGAGAGCAGATTGCAAAGAACCCTTTGTATTGTTAGGATGTCAAGAAAACTATTCCGCCTTCATACTGAAGTACATGTGACCTTCCTGTCTGGAGGCTACTTACAGGTTTGTCTTTTGAAACTAATGTTAAGAAAATGTTGTGCACCATCTAAACCCAAGAACAAAAATGTAATACTGCATCTTACCATTCCTTAGATGATGAGGAGGCTGCATACATTTTTTTTCAGGCTTTTATTAAACCTTTATTTTTGCCTGGTGATCTTGCCAGTAACACATTTCCTATCCCAGGGCGACTGTGCTCATTCACTGTACCTATGGAGGAGCAGTAGTGTCAACCAAGGACAGGAAGTGTTAGGACCACAGAACACCTCTCCCTCTCCTCATCTTACTTACCTTAAATGATTTCTCTTAATCCGATCTTCCTCTTCTTTCCTGAAGTTTTCCTCTGTCCCTCCAGCGGTGCTGAATCCTCTCCGCTTGCAGGCACTTCCGATCCAGCGGTGTCTGCATGCGGGTGCACGCGTCCATAGACTTACCTTGCGTCTCTGCTCGTCTCCCGGCCGAGAATCCGAACTGCGCCCGCCCCAAGATGCTTTGCGGCCGCCCGAGCAGTTTTGTTTTCTCGGACGGGAGCACGCAGCAAAAACAAGGTAAGTTTGAACCGCTGTTAAAAGCATTTTTTTTTTTTGCCTATATCTACTGCTTGATAGCAGTAGTGATAGGCAAAAAAAAACGGAGGCTTTAGAACCCCTTTAATGGTTATAGTTTCATAAATGTAAAAGCAATCCAAGATGCAGGGTTCTAATTTTTTTTACGGACTTCTATCTTACTGAATATTTTGATTTACAGTCAGCATTCGTAGCAACAGGTGTTCTGGAAGTATGGACTTACCATTCACCACAGGGATACAAGAACATGGACTCTTAACCGCCCTTACTGTAGAAGTTGAACATCAATACATAAAACAAAACCTTCTCGGATATTGTCTCACATAATGCATGTAAAAAAAGTGCTTTACTTACATTGCTGACATCCACCTCTTGAGTCATCAAAGGTCCAGAGAGTAGGATGGCCATTGAGGAGGACAAATTAGCCGCAACTGTGGATGTATCCTTTGTAAGGGAGAAGAAATTACATACTACTTTACAGATACTATATTAATGGAATATAAAAATACAAAATAAAAACAAAAAACACCAAACACATCAGATCTTTGTGCAGTTATATGTATGCCATATCACTTGCACTACTCTCCATTGCTCAATGCATGCATTAGGGGCTGGTATACGGCCCATATGGTAAAAGGAGAGATGCCCAGTATGTTTGTATCAAATGTAGCCTGAACAGTTTGCACATATCTTGAGCAGATTGACATTTCAGTGGGGTTTTATCCTGCCTGTTTTTATCCTTTAAATGCAATAAGTCAAACAAAACAGAGGAATATATATGCAATGCTACTTATCCATGACAAGGCTGGTTACAACTAGCACAAAAGGAAAACCCTATGAGCATATTGCTTAAAAGTAAACTAGAAAGCAAACATGTTCAAGTGTGGCTCACTGCCTTTGGCCAACACCTACGAATATTTAACTTTTTTTTTTTTTACAGATCACTTAACCTTTCAATTGGCAATTAAGCTTGCAGAACTGTTATTCTGCAAGATCTTGAAGTTTTGTTACTCGAGGACTAAGATATAGTAGGAATAGCAGAAACATGGTTAGACAGCACACACGATTGGGCTACTAACATAGAAGGGTACAACCTGTTCAGGAGGGACAGGCTGGCAAGAAGGGGGGAAAGAGAGTATGTATATATGCTAAAAATAACCTCCTTATGCACATACGTGACGATATCACGTCAGATGGTGGAGATGATGTGGAATCATTATGGCTCGAACTAGGTAGAACGAACCATCACCGTAAACGTATTGTGGGTGTCTGTTATAAACCTCCAAATATAGGGGAAGAGGAGGAGGCCCACCTACAATCCTAAATAGAAATAGCGGGGAAACAGGGAAATGTTGTGGTTATGGGAGACTTCAATTACCCATGCATCAACTGGGCTAATGGAACTTCCAAAATCGGCAAAGGCGGCCCGTTTTCTTAATATGTTGCGAGACAATTTAATGGATCAGATGGTTGAGGTCCCAACTAGGGAAAATGCCATCCTAGATCTGATCATCAGCAATAATACGGAGTTAATTGAGGATATTGTAATAGGGAAGAAAGGGAAGGGGGATGGGCGGACAGGAAGCCTAAACTTCAGGAAGGCCAACTTCGATAAACTACGCAACATAGTGGGTAAACAAATGGGAAAACTTATTTCATCAACTAAACTTTGACCAAAAGTGGGACTGTTTCAAGAACAAATTAAAAAATGCTATTACCAGGTGTATACTGCTGGGGAACAAAAGTAAAAGATCAAAAACAAAGCCAATATGGCTAAGTAAAATCGGTAAAACACCACATTAAGGAAAAGAAAGTGGCATTTACTAAGTATAAAACAGAGGGGTCAGTATTGGCATTCAAAAGTACAAAGAATGTAATAAAAGATGTAAACTGGTAGTCCGGGCAGCTAAAATTGAGGGTGAGAAATACAGTTAGTCACAGTTAGTAAACGGAACCCCAAAAAATGTTATCAATACATAAACAGTAAAAAGGGGAGAAAAAGGACCAGATAGGCTCAATAAAGGACATATGGGACGTTACTCACCGACAAGGAGAGGGCCGAGGCGCTAAATACTTTTTTTCTCGTCAGTATTCACCAAGGAAACAGACGAGTTTTATGTGATAAAACACAAGATTTAACAGGAAATACACCTGAGTGATTGACTGAAACTGGGATACAACATAGGCTTAAACTACTAAATGCAAATAAAGCATTAGGACCCGATAATCTACATCCCAAGGTACTCAAGGAACTGAACAAGGAGATAACAAAACCATTGTTTCTCATTTCTGAGGAATCATTAATGGCTGGTAGAGTGCCAAGCGACTGGCGGAGGAGCAAATGTGGTACCTATATTCAAAAAAGGGTCAAAATGCCAACCAGGGAACTATAGACCAGTTAGTCTGACATGCATAGTATGTGAACTGTTAGTGGAATTCGTCCGGGATCAGGGCATAATAACTGATAACCAGCAAGGATTTAGGAAGGATCGTTCTTGTCAGACCAACCTGCTGACCTTTTACGAAGAGGTAAGTAGAGATCTGGATGGAGGGAGGACGGTGGATGTGGTTTATCTGGACTTTTCCCAAAGCATTTGATACGGTGCCACATAAACGCTTGTTTATGTTCATAAAAGCTAAGGGCTATGGGCATAGATGAAGTAGTGTGCACGTGGATAGAAAACTGGCTAAAGGAACGTGTACTTGTAAACCTTAAGGGGTTTGAGGACCTGAATTATGAAACAAGGCTGTTCAAATTAAATATGTTCTCGTTGGAGGTTAGGAGATTAAGGGGGGACATGATATTCTTGTAGGCGCAAGGGGTTCTTCACAGAGCGGTTAAGGTCTGGAACTCGCTGCCGCAGGAAGTGATTTCAGCTAAGAGTGTGGAAGCATTCAAGAAACTCTTGGACGAGTTCCTCGGAGAGCATAATATACAGGGGTACAGGTACGCCTAAGAACAAGATCACACATGGACTCATACACACGCACCTGCTCAAACATAAATTCACACACCCAATAGGTTGGACTTGATGGACTTATGTCTTTATTCAACTTCAAATACTATTTAACTATGCAACTATGTTGTTGGGAAAGCCACAAGAGTGGTTACCTTGTAACATTCGACCAAAAAGGTAGCAGATATATATGTGTACTGGAATTCCAGTTTTTACCTCTGGCTCCTCCTCGTCATCCATAGCGAAAAATTCAGAGAACCCATCAAGGTTCCCTACTTTGTCTTCGTCAACACCAGCTAGAGTAGCACCGATAGGAGAAGCAATGACTTGGAGCTCAGAGTCCTCCTCCATACAGAGGTCATCCTGTACAAATGATTATGGACAACACAAAAACTTATTTCGGAAACATTTCAATGCTAAAATATGGACGACAATAGGAGAAGTACAGTACAGCAAAATAACCGATTCGAAAGCATAACCATTAAATTAGGAGGTCATGAAAATATTTTAGTGTAATGCTTTTGCTTTTTGGTAACAGAAGCATATTGCCAATACTTTTTCTATACAAGATGCAGCAATAATTGTGACCAGCATTGGTCACTAAGTTTCCAAAACCGAATACAGATTCAGTGGGTCTAGGCTAACCTTTCTAAAAACACCGGCATACCTACTGCCGAAGCAGTACCTACAGCACATCATGAGCTTAGCTGTTAAAATAACTATTTTGGCACAAAATGTGTAGTGAAAACACAAAATGAAGCCCTATTTGCATGGGATCAATTTAACCAGTTGCCGTCCGCCCGTTGTAAAAAAACGGACGGCACTGCTGCATTGGCGGGTTGCCGTCTCTGGACGGCATTTTTTTTCTGCGCGGGCACGCATGAGCAGAGAGGACCCGTGCAATGCAAACACCCGTTACCGGGTGTTTCACATATAGACGATCGGCAGCTCTATAGCCTGCCGATCATCTATATGTGCTCGTTTTTTCGGTCCCCCGCTCGTTTTTTTTGGACCGTCTGCCGCCCCCAAGTACCGCAGCGCTGAATACTGAAAAATGGCCTGGATGGGAAGGGGGTTTAACACCGCGGATGTCAACTGGTTAATTTGTCTGATTCCCTGTTGAGGCGTCAGTATTTTTTCTGCTCACTACTGCTGCATATAAAAGTTCATCCGGCATGTATGTTGGTTAGAAAAGGCAACTAGTAACAAAATCAGAAGGCTTAGTGTACAGAACCCATAAACACATTCTTAGAAGCCTTTTAAACCAACATCTGTGATATAAAGCACAGCTATTACCTATAAAAGAACACTGTCTCCATCATGAAACTTACCTTTGTTCCAAATGATGGAGAAATCTCTGTCATGGCTGCCTCCCGGAGAAGCAGTATAGAGCAGGGTTTACCTGGATTCTTAAACAGCCCACCCTCCTGAAAACCGGAGAAGGCACGGTTATCGTATATGGCCATTGGATGACCCATATAACAGGTAGAATGAAAAGGCATGAATAAATACAGCTGTCGCCACATTTTTTCATTCTAGGGACAAGCAGGTTATATACTCCAACATCAGTCCACCGTTATACAAGTCCCCCATTGTAAAAAAAGAAAAGCATCAAAATACAGTAGCTTCCAGAAGCACTTTCAATTGATCAGTCTAAAAAAAAAAGTATAGCACACACTTACATTTTCTTTATTACTAGAATCTCTTTGATGTCCAGAAAACTTCTTAAAACTTGGGGTGCTGCAGAGAAGTCTAGGCTATATATACACACACAGAGAAACCAGTTATTAAACAGAATGCAGATGGTATTAATTTAAGAAATCTCTATTGACCTTTTATCCAAGAACCATATTAGCCTATTTATCTGTGCATGTCATATGAAGTGGAGTCAAAAGGTCTCAAGAATTATGCTTTAAAATTTCACAATCCATAGTAGTAGTATCAAAAGACCTACAGTGCCAATAAGAGGAGTATGATGTCATTTTGGCATTGTAGTCAGGCAGAATAATAAAAAAAATCTAGTGGAGCCTTTCAGATACTAGGGTCAAAGAAATCGAAGAAGTCACCTTGTCAATCAAATTAACAGAAAGAAAAACACTGAAATATTAGGTTCATTGAGGCTGGCCTCAATAATAATGCAATACTATGGTGGTATAGCATTAAGGCTGAAGCTTACTCTGCTTATATTTATGCTTTCTCTGGTTCCTTCCCCCACTCATAAAATGTGTAAAGAATTATATTTAAAAAAAAAAAAAAAAAAAAAACACCACACACAGATTTTTATTAAACAATTTATTTAAAACCCAGTAATGCCATCACTGGGTCTCTTTGCCTCTCTATGCAGGCAGATTATGGCTAGTGGCAGAGGTAGGCAGGGTGTTGTACAGAGGTGCCTGAAAAATTCACAGAACCCTTTCTCAAAACTCCTCTCAAGAGCCCTCAGCCCTGATGCAAGTAGTGGGCTAGATTTTGGGAGGAGTGATGCAAATATCAATATGCCTTAATGGGTAGAGGTCAGTCTAAAAGGAGTGAGTTTTTCTAGGCAGGCTGCACTTGCACTAAAGCTGGATGTACACGGTTATATTTTTTTGTTCAACCTGCGGGCTGAATGAAGAAAATATAACAGATTCCTCACAAGCGTGGATGGAGGAATCCCCTGCCGTTTTGCATTGTATTGTCACATCGGCCACAGGCTGCTGTCAGAATTCCTGAACGGAGCTTGCAACTGACTGGTTGCAAGTTCCTTTGGTCGAAGATTTTCCTACCTGCTCCTTCAATCAGCTGATCGAGGGATGGCGGACGGAAGGGTGCTGACAGGGGCACCCACTGTGCAAATTCTGGTCGGTTCTTGATGAATTTGCACAGTGTATAGCCTACATAAGTAAAGTCCACATAAGCCTCCATGATTGAAAGAAAAGAAATCTAATCAAATGAAAGGCCAGGGACAGTGATTCTGGGGAGAAAAAAAAAAAAAGAGTAAATAATGCTGGATGTCTTCAAGCCAGGAAATGAGGCCTGCTCTGTTTGACTGGCTGAAGCTTCTAATGCACTCCTGTAAGCTCATGAAATCAGAGTACAGGAAAGTATCCTGCACAACTTTTCAAGACTAGAAAGAAAAGACTGGAGTTCAGCTTAAAATCACTAAAACATTTATTGCCGATAACATTATCAGACTAAAACTGACACTTACCAGTGATGTATTTACAGTTCCTTTAAGGCACTTCCTGTTTAAAAAAAAAAAAATATATATAAATTCAGTTTTAGCAATTACACTAAGCCCCTTCACAACCAGAACTGGAGAATTCCGGTACTCTAGATCTCTGAAAACAGATTGCCAATGGTATAAGGGGTCCTGGTGCCGAAGCTAGCCGAAGGATCGGCCGAAGCTACGGCCAGATCCTTCGGCAGCTTTGTGAATAGACCCCTTAGTTTTGGTTCATGGACGTGTGATTTGTCAGAATGCTTAGTGGCAGTCTCCGAAGATGTCACAAACTGGCATCAAAACCCCACAAACTACAATATTTGTTTTTCACACACATTTGATCTGTTCTAGATTCTAAAATAAAAGAATGACATTAACAATATTTTAAAATATTAATATGGAGTAAAAAGAAGGAATCTTCAGATTTTTATGCATATGGTGTTACCTTCACATTTTTATATCTTCACAAACTCAGTTCTATAAAAGAGGCAGATGTGTAAATAAAAAAAAATTAAACTTGATGTAGCAATTCATTCACCAAAAACAATAGACCATGGGATGTCCAAAAGCAGTAAATTGAGGGGTAGCCAAACAGCAACTTTGCCCAAAAAGGCCTAAAAATCCAAAAACACCCAATGCCTGAAGCTGGTATAAGAGGAGGCCTGAACATCTACCTGGTAAAACATAAAAACAACCTGAACAGAAGACCAGGGGGTAGAAAGCCAATGTCTGATGCTGATAAGCCCTGGAAGCACAGACAGATCTAGTAGAGTGCACCTCAACAAGGAAGTAACCTTATCCTTCAGCCTATAGGCTCGGATGAGGACTTGTCTGATCCACCAAGCAATGGTAGAGCGAGAGGCATAGAACCAGTTACAGGAAACCCTCTGGAAGGACAAAGAGGGAATCTGATTGCTAATGGAAGCTGTAGCTGAGAGGTAGACTCTTACGGTGTGGACCACATTCAAAAGAGAAATTTCTTTGGAATGCTTAAGGCAGGACATAGGGAGGAAAGGACAATGTCCTGGTTGAGGCAGACATAGGAAACCACCTTTTGGAAGAAAAGGGGAACATGGCCTCAGGATGAGCTCATCCCCATGCAACATGAGGTAGCATCCTTTGCAGGAAAGGGCCACCAAGCAGAGACTCCGCTTGCAGAGCTTATAACCATAAGGAAGGAACCTTGTGTGTGAGGTTGGTTAGGGGAACAACCAAGATGGGTTTAAAGGGTTGTCTCCAAAAGACTGACTGAATAACGTCCGGTGGCGTCACTGGGAAGTGTACAGGGAAGTGATGTGAGCGACACCTTGCAAAAAAGCGGCAACTAAGTAGTGAGAGGTGAGTAGTCTTTTGAAAAAGAAAAAGTCCAAGAGAGCTGCCCTTCGATGGTGCTCAAGGCCAAAAGGCTGATCCAGACCAGCTGGATATAGGACAGGAAGCATCTCACAGAGAACCTCCTAGGGTGGAATTTTCTAGCCTCACACCACCCAAACTAAGCCTTCAGAGTGATAGTATACTTTGCAAGCAGTCAATTTAATAGGCTTCAGAAGCATATGGATAATCGAATCAGACAGGCCCCTGTCTATTAGGACCTGGACATAACAAGCCAAGCTGGTAAATCTAGAAACTGCGAAGCAGGATGGCAGACAAGCTTCTAATACAGAAGGTCTGATGGCCTGGAAGGGCCCACGGAGAGTCTACCAGAAGTAACAAGTCCTATTGGGCCAGTTCATTGCAATGAGCATCACCAGAATCCCCTCTGCCTCAAACCTGTGTAGCAGCCAACACACAACTATTGGAGGGGGGAAAGAAATAGGTCAGGTTGAACAGATGACAGAGTGACTAAAGCACTTCCAATAATTGTTCAAGGATCCCTGGACCAGGTCACAATCTTGTGCAGTTTTTTTGTTGAAATTCAACACAAGGAGGTCCACGTCTGGCATTCTACCATCTGAGCTAGAAACACCTCAAGGTAAGAGACCATTTGTCCCAGATATAGATGCTGATGTGTGAGGCAGTTCACCTGCCAACTGTCCACCCCGGGATATGCAGGGTTGACAGGGCCAGAATGTGAAGTTCCATCCAAGTTAGAATGAGATCCATTCTAACTTGGATGGAACCCCGACGGTTGATGTAAGCCACTGCTGTGCCATTGTGTGACTAGACTTTGTTCAGATGACCCTGCAATAGAGGGGTGCAATGTTGAAAGGACAACCAAAATGCCCCGAGTTACAGAATGTTGATGGGAATCTGAGATTCCCAACTGAGGACCAGGTTTCCTGAACCAATAAATTATCCAGCACTCCTGGTCAACCCAACAGGTTGCGTCCATCATGAGGACCTTCCAAATGAGTGGCAGAAAGGACTTTCCCCAGACTCCAGGTTAAGATTCTGTTTATTTTAATCAGCCAGAATGCCGAGTTGTATCGGCCTGGAGTAAAGCGGAGCATATGGTACTGCCTCAAAGACACCATCAGGCTCAGAACCCACATGAAAAAGCCAATGGAGTGGTGGCCCTAAGACCAAAGGGCCCAAATGTGTGAGTGGATACATATAAGCTTTTTTTCAGGGAAGAAAGACTCTTTGGGCTGTGTCAAGGACTAGGTCAAGGTACTCCAAACAATGAGTCACAGACATCTCAAAATGGAGGATCCATCCGAATCTCTGCACTGTCTGCTGGTTGTTGTCTGACAGAACTTGGAATGATTGCTACTTAAGCAAGAGGTCATCAAGATAATCCACAAATGTGGATACCCCAAAACTGGAGCAGACAGGACCGGGCACCTTAGTGAAGGCCCATGATGCTGTGGACAGAACAAAGGGAAGGGCAACTATTTGTAAATGTTGTGTGCCAACTGCAAAACACAGGAAGGAGTTGATGAGGAGGGAAGATGGGGATGTAAGTAGGCATCTTTGATGTCCACAGAGGCCAGAAGATCCCCAGTTGAAGGGAGGCAATGACTGACCCGGCAGATTCCATGTGGAATTTTGGACCCAAAAACCATCTGATGAAGATCTTTAGGTCCAAAAAAAATAAATAAGTGTATGTATCCTTTTGCCATGGGACAGTGAATATCTTCAAGAAGAACCCCTGAAATATTTGTACGTTTGGGAAGGGGGGCAATAACCCCCTAGAGAAAACAGCTGATGCAAGGGAGTGTATAGATCTGCAAGTTTGTTTAGCCACTGAAGGAGAGAATTGTATTATTGATATGATTAACAGGTAAAAGATAAGAGGGGAAAAAAAGAAAACTAATGCAGCTACCACATCTAAGAACTGTTAAACTGAAATATTTTTTTTTCATTAAATGTAAAGACAAAGAGGCCTAGAATATTGCTTTGACATGCAGTCACCCACAGAGGGAGACTATGCATAAAACCCCAAAAACATTCACTAAAACCCCTATATGCACCCTACAAACACCCCGTACATTCAAAAATATGCAGGGATCAAACTGCTATATGCAGTACTCACTTTGCTTCTTTTTTGGGTTCTGGAGTATAAATGATGAGTGATAAAAAAAAAAAAAAGATAAAAAAAAGTTTTAAAAACCTTTTGTGGTTAGGCAATTTGCAAAAAAATAAATAAATGTTAAAATTTGTATATATAGATATATCTAGCCATCTATGTCTATATCACAGTACAGAACATTTAATACATGTACCTCTTATGAAAAGGTACAATTCAATAATCATGAGAAATTCTCTCACAAACTGGATTTCTCTCAGCACAGGTTTCCTCGCTGCCAGAGCCGTTTTGTAATTATATATTTCCTGAAAGCAGAGACTCTGGAGAATAAAATGGTGGCAGTTTAAATTTTTTACATCAGATGATATTCATGCAACTGTTTATCAAACCATTTTTTGGTTAAGTATAAAAGATGGGGTTACTTTGGGTAAATAGATACCAAACATGTCAATCCATGTGCAGCTTCTAAAGCCAGTGTAAGCGTTCAACCTGCAAAATCACTTACAATCAGTGGCGTCGCTACAGTCCTCCCGATCTACTGAGCCGACCTGTGACAGTCTCATTGTCACAGGTCGGCTAGAACTATGAGGTGAGTGAAAAGCACTCACCTCATAGTTCTCCTATAATCTTAGTAATATTTTAAAAGATTGATTCACATACAGTACAGGCAATACAAACAACCGGCTGATCAGATGTCTCTATCGTGTGCTGGTTACTACTTAAACTGGCACGCTGTGTGTAGCTTCTGAGAAGATACACTATTAGCGTAGCGGGAGCATTGCAAAATGCGCAGCCGGCTTCCTCGCTATGCTAATAGCGTATCTTCTCAGAAGCTGCACACAGCACGCCGGTTTAAGTAGTAACCAGCACACGCTGTATGCAGCTTCTGTCGCAACTGCAGGACGCAGATGCCATCCGCAATTAAATCAGCTCTCGGCACCCATCTGACTGTGGTATCTTATGTGCCCCCCTAAATATTGTTCCTAGAGTCGCCACTGCTTACAATATAAAGTTGACAGTCACCTTGTGTCTTTAGAATCCCAGGTTGCCATTGATGTAAACCTTATGTCAGTGGAAGTGAAAGGTTTAACCTCTTGCCGTCCGCCCGTTGTAAAAAGTCTGGGTGGGAAGGGGGTTTAACACCGCGGATGTCAACTGGTTAAAGTGTATGTAAATGCATTTTTTTTTTTTAAGGTTTGGATAGAAAGGAGTAGGGTTAGACCCTTTGTTGAGTTTTATTGCAGTCTGTGTCCTGGTGGTAGAGATTCATCCCTCCATTTGTTCCGGTGACCAAAAGAGACAGTCGAGGGAAAATCCTCCCATTTAGACACCTCCAACTGTAACTAAGATGGAAATTGTGTTCTCTCATTCGCTGTTGTGTCTATAGGACAGAAAGTGAAGGAAAATTTCCCCAAATTGGCACAGCAAAAATAATTTAATAGGGGTTAAATTATTAGCCGTTCCCAATGTTATTCTACATTTTTTTTTATGCTTTAATTTTTTTTTAAAGTTTTTTTTTTTACACTTAAAGCGATTGGGCGTCTATGTTTACATTGCAAACAGTTTCCTCACTCGTGTGCGTGCTGAGGGGCAGGATGTTCTTAAGACGCCCTTCCGATCCTATAAGGCTCCCGCCCGGCCGTTCAGCGACGGCCATGGACGGCAAGTGGTTAATGCACTGTTTAACATTTATCTACTATGAATGCTCATAAACAAAGCCAGTGACAGAAATACAATTGTCACACAAGTTTACTTCAATTTAATACATGTAAATCTCAGGCTACTTACAAATCTTCTAACTGTATTGACTGTGACGAGTCTCCCTTACCTAAGTAGACATGGGAAAGAAAAAGAAAAAACAAAAACTATGATATTGTTTTTTTGCTTAAAAGTGTATGACAGGGCGATTAAAAAGTTTTTTGTTTTTTTTAAAGTCTAAAACACTATGGGGGTTATTCACAAAAGGGTGAAGAGTTTGGAGAAGGCAGGAGAAGTAAACAATCTAGGCCAAAATAGATGATGATTTGGAAGAATTCTCCAATTCAGTTCACTTTCCATATCAGCTATGTGGTCCTAGATTGTTCACCTCTACTGCCTTCTCCAAACTCTTCACCCTTTTGTGAATAACCTTGTATATCTCTGCAATACATGCACATGTAGCCATGTCTTAACCCTTTTAAAGTGCCTGCAAGTACAGAAAAATATCTGATCTGCCAGAAATGCACTCTGCTCCCAACTTCCTGTTGTGAGATGGGAACACCCTATACCAATTACACTTGCTTTTCAAGATGTCAGAGGTTAAAGTGGAACTTCATGTAAAAATTAAAAAAGTGGCGACCAGACAGGCTTTTTATTGCAAAGATACTAATGTATGTCTCTTCTGCAATAAAGGACTCTTATCTGCCCATTTGCTTTTTTACTGTACACAAAACAGCTTCTACCTGTACACATGCACAGCTCTGTGTAGAATTTCAGTGGGGTGATTGCACTGGATTTACATAATCCTTGCATAGCCAATCAAGATGACTGAAAATCCTGAACCTGGAAGAAGACTGGGCGAAGAAGTCGGCAATGACGAGGAAGCTAGTGGACATTGCATCACTGGATTACATTTTCTGTACACGATTTAGCTCGCTCAAACTGCATCTCAAAACAGGTCTGCCCTTGTTTATCTTCATTACTTTTGGGATTGGTAGGACTAGTAGTTTATATAATAATGGGAGGATACTGCATTTCTGCTAAGATCAACATGTATTTTCTGTACTTTCCAAAACTGTTCTTAGCCTGCAAAATTAAAACTAAATGAAGGCACCACATTTGAGTGGTGAGCTGCAATATAATCAGATTTGTGTACTGTAAAACCTATTTTTGTGTTCATTAGGGGCAAAGGAATTCAGAAACAGTGCAAGTTTGGAACACTAATAAAACAGAACAATTATAAACCAGCCCCCACATAACCCCTCCTATGGCCAGCATGCCTTAGGTTTTGTGTACCAAGAACAAGCAAAAAATATAAAGTGATAGGACCTGGGGCCCTTAAAGGAGGAACTTTACCCATTTCTTTAAAATAACAACAAAGACACCTTTAGACATGCTTAGTAACGACAATCTACAAACACATTCTTCTAGATAATTGTAGGATTGTTTATTTTTTGCTTCTCTTATTTCTCTTTCCCAGTCTTCTGACAGTGGCCATTTTAACTAAGGGCAGATTACTAGATCTCCCTTTACTTCCTGTAACTCTGGCACATGTGACTAGGACATGTGACCATGCACATCATCTCAGGGGAGGAAAATGGCTTTCCCCGAGATCTCATGAGATTACAGATGGGATTTCCCACCAATGCCAACGAGGTCTCAGGTTCTAGATGACCGTCACAGGTTCCCTCTGGGGATACAGAATAAATGCCCTTATAACTACCATTTATAATGGGCCGAGGTCACCTTTAGCAGCAGGACTGTCCTCTGTCTTAGAAAAGGCATTTTGCATCTACACAACGGTAAGCAACTAGGCCCAATGTGAGGCAAGGACTAATGTACTCACAATCTGGGGCAGCTAATGCTCATTGGGGTTTTAGGTGGCCAAGGCGACCAGGTTAATGTAGATGTGCAGTGGAAACAGGCTGAAGACCAGATATCCTTGTGGTGCTTCATGAGCAGAAGCAGCAGTGGGATGGTGCTTCCTCCAGACTGAATGAGCGCAGAGTTCATCCATTGGATGACACCAGTGCTAGGTCCAACAGCCTTTAACCCCCACCACAGTAAAACCGGCGTGGCAGGAAATTTTAAAAGGCGCCCAATGGTGCAAATAGTGAGGAAGCGCCTCAAAGCGGCTCTGTCCAAAATTACTAACACAATACACTCAGGTCTGGAAAGCTCCACATTGCAAAGCTCAGTGCCCTAAGGTCACATTCCAGCCTAGCCCTACAACTTCCAGTCCAGCAATGTCCAGGCACTGCCTCCAAAGCTGAGTTGAGGAAGCGGCGATCGAGGAAGCGGCTACACAGTCCAGTTCAAGCAGCAGTGTCCACAAGGAACCTTGACTGAAGTCACAGAAAAAAAGAATCCACAGCAACATAGGATAGCAGAAAATAGACTGTTTAGCACAGCTGAAGAAAAGGCGTCCAACCTCCTAGGGCACTAGCAAAAACAGAGGCATGTTGGGTAGAGGAGGGATTATAAAGGGGCTGGCTTAAAATGTTCTGTTTGCCAGTATTCCAACTAGGGATGCACCAATACAAAGTATTTGGGCAACTACTCTTACGCGCTCAAATGCTCCGACACCAGAACTTCCGGTCAGAGCAGGATTTCCTCTGACCGGTAGTGCCGCGAGGGAAAATGGAGCCAGCTTCCCGGCCAATCAGCAAACCGGGCAGTGGGTAATGACCTGCCTCCCAGTTACCTGATTGGCCGGAAGCTGGCTTTCCAGCCAAACAGCATAAAGCCGGCCAAACAGCATGGAGCCGGCTTCCCAGGCAATCAAGAAGCCGGCTGGCGGGTAATGACATGCGTCTGGCTTTCTGATAGCCCGGAAAGCCGGCTCCATGCTAGCGGAAGTACCGATTCTGGCAAATACCAAAAGATAAGTAACGGTACTCGATACCGAAAAACCGGTATCTGTGCATCTTTAATTCCAACCTCCTGTAGGAGGGCAGTATAAACTAACTTTCTAAATTCCTGAGTACCTCAAATGGATGAGAAAGAAATTACATTTTAGTTTTTGGGTTTAAATAACACTCAGGCCTGATCCAATAAACTATAGTGCCACTTAAGACATGCTAAAGTGGCCTTTCTGGTGATGTGAGGAGATAGCTTGAGTGGCTACTTTATTTTAGTTTCCCAAAACTTTCTCACAACAGTACATATGGAACACTGAACTCATATAATCATGTATGCTCCTTTGATTGCAGTGCCGTCCGTCCGTTTTTTTACTACGGGCGGACGGCAAGAGGTTAAAACTACTGGAAAAATAGTAAGTAAAAAGCTGGAATCTGAAGAAAGTGGGCCTTCTTTTGAAGGAAACTTGTACTGCCATTGCTAAGGTCTGCTTTCAAAAATGTTAGATGCCTAGCTGTCATTATCCAATGGCCTCAGCATGTCCTGAATCACGAATGGTGAACAAGTACAAAAAATATGTAGGTGGTCCGGACTTCACTGTTCACTTGTTTAGGGTTAAGAGAACCAGGCAACAAATATCATATAAAAAGGAGCTCTGTGATGGCAGTATACATACACCTTGTTAATGGTTTACTTTAGAAGAGAACAGTTATGTCGATGCAAGGCAAGCAACTGCTATTACCTGTCGCCATTTTAACAGGTGACACGAAAGCTTGCAGGCCAGGTTCATCGCAACTCAGGTTAGACAGATCCAAGCAGCGTTTAGGGGTCTCACTGCAAGAAGAAAGTTATACGGATGTGAACTCAATGTTAAACAGTCTCCATATGTGCAATAAAACACAGGAAAAAACTAAATTACACAAACTGATGAGTACAATTAAAGCATATATAAACCCCAACAGTGAACTTCTCATTTTGTCCTGTTAAAGCTGAGCTTTAGGCAAATATAAAAAGACACAAATTAATCCAGCTCTTTAAATCACAATACATATACATATACAGGTGAAACTCGAATAATTAGAATATCGTGCAAAAGTAATTGCAGTAAGTGCTGCAAAAGGGGCCCAAACCAAGTACTGAGTACATATGCATGCTTGTACTTTTCAGAGGTCCGATATTGTTCTATGTACAATCCTTGTTTTATTGATTGCATGTAATAATCTACTTTTTTGAGGTTGTGGATTTGGGGTTCTTGGGGTTTTCATGAGCTGTAAGCCATAATCATCACAATTATGACAAATCACAGCTTAAATTATCTTGCTTTGCATGTAATGAGTCTATCTCGTATATTAGTTTCACCTTTTAAGTTGCATTAGTGAAATAAATGAACTTTGCACGATATTCTAATTATTCGAGTTTCACCTGTATATTAGGGCTGGTACGGATTAAAATGTTAGTGTTCGATTAATCAAAATTTTTTTTAATCGATTTAGATTATAAATCACCGGACTCCTCCCCCCTTCCCTTCGTTAGCTGACAGAGCCACTTGGGGAAGGGGGTAGGAGTCTGTTGATGTCGATGTCCGTGACGTCACTGGATCTCCGATGGGACTCCCGGAAGCCGGCGAAGAGGTGAGTGTTTTCATTAGCGATGAAAAGAATTTTAATCGGCCAAAAAGTATAACGATTAGGCCTTGTTCACACCAAGCGCAGAGCAAGTCCAGACCTGATGACCGGATCTGCTCTGCATTTGGTGTGAACAAGGCCTTAAATCAAGAAATCTGAATATGATTGGCAGCCGAGAGGATACGCTGACAGTTCTAAGAACTGATACATTGATGGAAGACCTATACACTGAGTGGCCAGATTATTATGACCACCCCATCAGTACTTCGTTGGGCCGCCTGTGACTCCACGAGATGATGAAAGGTGATGCGAGGAATCTGACACGGCACTGTTGCCCTTCTGTT